ACGATAAAACAACTTGACCAACTGGGTCTCGGTGACCCCGTGGTCAGGGACGGCTACCAAGTCGTCCATAGTACTCTTGAGTGCCTTAGCACTCCTCCACTGCCGCGAGTGTATCGTTTGAAGCTTATTAGAGGCTCTTATGCCTCTCGTTGGGTCAGCGAAACGCTCCTTGAGGAGCCTGAGGAAYTGGGAAAGAGGGGTGRCTTTAGAATATGCAACCAGGTTGTTTTCACAACCGGCTGTGCGCGCGAGAGACCTAGCGAAACTAGCCGCTTCGTCCTTCAGGGCCTGGAAGGCCACGAGGACTTGCTCCTCCATCAGGATATGTTGTAAATAGATGTAGCTATTGACACTGGCCTCCCAGTTGTCAAAGTTCTCGTCCTTCTTCCCCCCGTACGCGTCTGGGAACTTAAGTTTCACCGGATCCTTACGGGGTCTGGCCTCTCCCTCTACAGCGGCTACTGCTTTGGCACCCTGAATGGCGCCCTCACAAAACTTCCCTACATTATCTCTCAATTGCTTCACTTCGCCCCCAATATGGGTGACGAACTCGCGCGCGAAATCTCTAAATCCTGACCGCATGGCACTCAATGCTACATCCTGGCTCCAGCTTGCCTGACGCTCCTCCATCCAGGCCTTGCTCAACACCTCTAAATAGCCCAGTACTTTGTCCCACTTGGCCTTGTCATATGGCTGGGCCAGCACCTCCTGTCTGCACGCCTGCACCTTTGCTACCTCTGCGGTCATCTTGTTCACTTCCTCTCTCCTCTTCTTCTTCTCTCTCTTCATCCTCAGTTTCCATGCTAACTTTTGTTCCTCCTCCCTCTCTCTTCGTTCCATTGGGTCTGTTATGGCTGCTAGCTCGGCGGCCAGCGCAGCCTTCTCATCCTTAGTCACGTAAGACTCCGCCTCTTCGTCTTCTCCCAACGATAAATTAGCCACCCACTCGCTGATCCTCTTTTCCAACCCTGTATCTGTCTCCCTTGTCATCTCCCTTGTCATCTCCCTTGTCATCTCCCTCGTCCTCGTGCCACTACTACTCCCTTCTCCACTCTCAATCCTCATCCTCTCTTTCTCTTCTTCTGCTGCCGCTTCTGTTTCAGCAGCTTTTCTTCTTTCTTCCTCCTCTTGTTGTACTTTGTTCATCTCCTCCTCTAATCTCTTCATCTTCGCCGCCTGTTCGTCTGCGATAGCCTTTAGCTTCGCTTGCTTCTCACGCTCTTTCCTCTCTTTCCTCTCTGTGACTAAGGCGGCCATCTTTTCTTGCTGCTCAGTAGTGTAGGGGCTAGTCTCCTTCCCACTACGGGTCTCAACCATGGTGATAAGTGTACAACCGGGTTAGTGGTTCCAAACCTCACCACGTAGATGTCAACCCTTGATTGACAGACCTACTGATTCAATCTAAGACTCACAGAATCCTGACAGGGATCCTGTCAACTATGGTCTCTAGCC